ACCATTCGAAAAGGAACCGCCCTCACTCCGTGAAGCTCTTGCAATTTTTGAAAACGAATGTGTGCCGCGCTAAGGCGAGAACCACACTTTGGAAACCACCCGCCCTCAATCCTTGGAGTTCACGAATGTGCGCCGCGCTACGGCGAGAGCCACATTTTGAAAACCACCCGCCCTCGATCCGTGAAGCTGTTGCATGTTTTAAACGAATGTGCGCCGCGCGAAGGCGAGAGCCAAATTTTGAAAACCACCCGCCCTCCATCTGTGAAACTGTTGCCAGTTTGTGAGCTGCAGAATCATAAATGGTGAGGAAGTCTCATTCGAAACGCCAGGACCGCTCTAAAAACTGGCCTCGGTGTGCGACAGGGAGAAGTTATGTATAAGGAAAAGAAAGGGAGGAGGAGGAGGAGGGGGAGGGGAGGAGAGGAGAGAGGAGGAGGAGGAGGAGGAGGAGAGGAGGAGGAGGAGGGAGGAGGAGAGAGAGGAGGAGGAGGAGGAGGAGGAGGAGAGGAGGAGGAGGAGGAGGAGGAGGAGGAGGAGGAGGAGGAGGAGGAGGAGGAGGAGGATGAGGAGCAGGAGGAGCAGGAGGAGACGCCTCCTCGCGCAGGCTTCTTTGTCTCGCCGTCTGTCCCCCCTCCACAGCCCCCCCCTCCCACTCGACGATGTCGAGGCATGTCGACCCGCCCCGCCCGCATGTGTGATTTCCGCGGGCAGCATGCCAACATCTGAGCGGCGACAAGCAAATGCGGGCCAAAGTGCGCCGACATTGGCGCGCAAGATGCCCGCGCCGGCCGTCGGTCTTTCCGCGTGCGCTGCTTCCGCGCGGAACGCTCCCGGTCGTTCCGAGTGGCACTCCCGCCTCGGCGCCAGCCGCCCTTTGATCACCACTCCGAGCTGCTCCAGCAGCCCCTCCCCGCGCGCCCACCGAGCGCACCCTTGGCCACGATCCCCCCCCATCAACGCCCCGCGAATGACAGCCCACTCTCTTCTTCTCCCGCCCCCCACGATTCGCCCACCGCCCCACGGTGATGGAAACTTAGTCCCCGAGCCCGCAAACGTCCAGAAGAGGGTGGCTCCGAGGAGCGGCCGCGGCCCCGGCCGTGCTGCGCGCGGCCTGCGAAACGCATCGTGTCTGCCGACGACGCGCCCCGACACCGAGCAGCGCGGAGTGCACACTGCGACACATCAGGGCCACTTCTGGTTCGGCGGAGGGATGCTCTGGTCTTCGGATCGTTCCTCAGATCCAGATCGAGGGGTCCGTTCGTGGCCGAGGCTCGCCGTGGCCAGAACAAGCCCCTTCGTTCCCTGTCCGCCGCTCCCTGAGGTGGTACGATGGTTGCACCTTCCGTGGCTGGAAGAGGAGGACGAGGTGGAGGTGGAGGAGGAGGAGGATGAGGAGGAGGAGGAGGATGGGGATGGTGATGAGGATGAGGATGATGATGATGCTGCTGCTGCTGCTGCTGATGATGATGATGATGATGATGATGGTGCTGCTGCTGATGATGATGATGATGATGATGATGCTGATGCTGCTGCTGATGCTGCTGCTGATGATGATGATGCTGATGATGATGATGATTCTGATTATGATGACGATGATGATGCTGATGCTGATGCTGATGCTGATGATGATGCTGCTGCTGATGATGCTGCTGATGATGATGATTATGATGCTGCTGCTGCTGATGATGAAGATGATGATGATGATGATGATGATGATGATGATGATGATGATGATGATGATGCTGATGATGATGATGATGATGATGATGATGATGATGATGATGATGCTGATGATGATGATGCTGATGATGATGATGATGATGATGATGATGATGATGATGATGATGATGATGATGAGGAGGGCGAGGAGGAGGAGGAGGAGGAGGAGGAGGGAAGGAGGAGGAGGAGGAGGAGGGAGGAGGAGGAGGAGGAGGAGGAGGAGGAGGAGGAGGAGGAGAGGAGGAGGAGGGGAGGAATGTGACGAGACGGAGGAGGATATAATGAGGATGAAAAGGAGGAGGAGGAGGAGGAGGAGGAGGAGGAGGAGAGGAGGAGGAGGAGGAGGAGGAGGAGGAGTAGGATGAAGAGGAAAAGGATAAGGAGGAGGAGGAGGAGGAGGAGGAACAGGAGAAGGAGGAAGAGGAGGAGAAGCAGGCGCAGGAAGAGGACAAGGGGGAGGAGGAGGAGGAGGAGGAGGAGGAGGAGGAGGAGAGGTGGAGGAGGAAGAGGTGGAGGAGGAGGAGGCGGTGGTGGTGGAAGAAGAGGGGAAGGAGGAGGAGAAGGAGGAAGATGAGGAGGAGGAGAAAGAGGAGGAGAAGGTTGAGGAAAGGAGGAGGAGGAGGAGGAGGAGGAGGATGAGGATGAGGATGGAGGAGGGGAGGAGGAGGAGGAGGAGGAGGAGGAGGAGGAGGAGGAGGAGGAGGAGGAGGAGATGGAGGAGGTGGAGGAGGGGAGGAGGAGGAGGAGGACGAGGAGGAGGAGGGAGGAGGAGGAGGGAGGAGGAGGAGGAGGAGGAGGAGAAGGTGGATGAGGAGGGGAGAATGAAGAGGCGGAGGAGAAGGAGGAGGAGGACAAGGAGGAGGTGGAGAAAGAGGAAGAGGAGGAGGAGGAGGAGGATGAGGAGGAGGAGGAGGAAACGGAAGAGGAGCAGGAGGAATAGGAGGACGAAGAGGATGTGGAGGAAGAGGCATGGCCCACCATTTCGGCACACCCTTCACGAGGCTCGTTGCCCCATAGGGAGCTCCACCGAAGGCCCCAGTGGCACAGGCCGCATGCCCCCGACGCCCATTTTGGCACTGGCCCCATAGGGAGTTCCACCTAACGCCCCAGTGGCACAGGCCGCATGCGCTCGACGCCTCCATGTTTGTACACACCTCACACGGTTCGTGGCCCCATGGGGAGCTCCACCGAAGGCCCCAGTGGCACAGGCCGCATGCGCCCGACGCCCATTTTGGCACACCTTTTATACGGTTCCTGGCCCTATAGGAAGTTCAACCCAAGGCCCCAGTGGCACAGGCCGCATCCGCCCGACGCCCATTCAGGCCGCATGCGCCCGACGACCATTTTGGCACACACTTCGCGCGGTTCGTGGCCCCATAGGGAGCTCCACCGAAGGCCCCAGTGGCACAGGCCGCATGCTCCCGACGTCCATTTTGGCACACCACTCAGACGGTTCGTGGCCCCATACGGAGCTCCACCCAAAGCCCCAGTGGCACAGGCCGCATGCGCCCGACGCCAATCTTGGCACACCTCTCAGACGGTTCGTGGCGGCATAGGGAGCTCCACCGAGGCCCCAGTGGCACAGGCCGCATGCGCCCGTCGCCCATTGGGCACACCCCTCACACGGTTCGTGGCCACTTATGGAACTCCACCGCAGGCCCCCGTGGCACAGGCCGCATGTGCCCAGCTCCCATTTTGGCACACGCTTCTCGCGGTTCGTGGCCCCATAGGGAGCTCCACCGAAGGCCCCAGTGGCACAGGCCGCATGCTCCCACCGCCCATTTTGGCACACCCCTCACACGGTTCGTGGCCCCATAGGGAGTTCGACCGAGAGCCCCATTGGCACAGGCCGCATGCCTCCGACGCCCAGTTTGGCACACGCCTCACACGGTTCGTGGCCCCATAGGGAGTTCCACCGAAGGCCCCAGTGGCACAGGTCGCATGCGCCCGTCGCCCCTTTTGGCACACCCCTCACATGGTTCGTGGCCACATAGGAAGTTCCACCGAAGGCCCCAGTGGCACAGGCCGCATGCTCCCGACGCCCATCTTGGCACACGCCTCACACGGTTCGTTGTTCCATATGGAGCTCCACCGAAAGTGGTACCAACAACGCGGTATTCACAATTGCGCATGTTTGGGTCATTCGCCAGGATATTTTTGTTGGTCGGCGGTATCGGCTTTTTGAGTATGAGTTTCGATGGCGATTGCTCGCCATCGTGCGGAGTGCTTCTCCCCATGTGCTATGATCGTCCACATGAGTCTTGAAGCCTTGCGTCTGTGTCCTCCTTCCCACTCTCCTCCTCCCCCTCCCTCCCTCTTTCCTTTCCTTTCCCTCTCCTAGTTGTTTGCGAAACGTATGACGTTTGTACTGAATTCTTGCAATTTGCTCGAGGTGTGCTCGTTCGTGCGCGCCTGCAGTCGACTGCGCTCGATGTGTCCCCGAAGCCGAGACTCCCCCCCCGCTCATGCTGCTCTCACAGGGCATATCGGACTTCCCGCGCGCGTCGAGCGCCCCCCCCCCCTCGAGGCACAACGGAGACCGTGCGGCAGAGGGCTGCCTCGTCACCGCCAAGCAGAATATTGGGCACGTACTCGATGTAGCTGTTGCCTTTTATTTGGCACGACAGGTTCGTGCCGCGCCGACGCGTCGGCGACCGCAGCGTGGGCGTTCAAGGTTGCACGCTACAGTGGCCGCTCATCGACCGACGTCGAAGGATTCGCGGTATCAGGAAGCCGCGATCGTTCAAGGTCGAACGATCCGCGCGGTGTCTGGAGCCAATGCCCACGTCGTCGCGACGTGAACCTGCTGTCAGCGAAGAGTTGGACCGCCAGTCCCGCTTTTTTTCATGGTGGTCGTCTTGCGTATCTTGTGTGTTGACGCTCGGTCCGGCACGGCCCGGCCCTGGCCCTGTTGTAATTGATAGCCTGCACTGTTCGACGTGCTCCCCCCCCGGGACGGCCACACAGGAGCGCAGGGCAGACGATGGCCACGACGTCTCTGCTCGCTCTGCTGCCCGGCGGGAAGGCTATCGGATTCCCTCGCACACGAGGCCGACGATCCGAGCGAGGGAGGCTCGGGGGCGGCGAGGGCGGTCTGTTGCCTCCTCTGGCGCTCTCGAGCACGGACGTGCGCGTGCCCCGACCCCGCTCCTCTTCTGACCCCTCCACGGCGGTCCCCCCCCCCCCTTCTCCTCTTTCTCCATCTCCCTCGGCAGCAAACCATGGGAGCCTGGTGTGCCCATTTCATCCTGTCTTGAGCGTCGACTGGCGCCGATTGGCTTGAGCGTGGATGAGATAGCGCTAATTTAGCGTCGGTCAGCGTCGATTCAGCGTCGATTCTGCTTCGATTCGCGTCGATTTACCGTCGACTAGGGCCGACTCGCAAGAGCCAACAAGATGGTATGGGAGGCTCCCATGGGTTGCCACCTACTCCCTCCCCTCGTTCTCCATCTCCTTTCGCTGGCCCGCCCTCTTCCTCTTCCCTCCGCTTCGTTTGGATCGTCGACCCTCATGCTGGAGAATTGTCTTGCAAGCGCGCCAAGCGCGCTCGTGTCACCTCGCTCCGTATCAGTGGCTGTCCGCACTCCGTCGGCGGTCCTCCACCGCTCTACAGCGACCAGGGTTTATCTCGGCTTGCACGGCAAACGTCAGTCTTCTCGGTCTCACGAGTGCCCCAAAGAGGCAGCGAGTCGTAAGGCTCTCTGGGGGCTAGGCCTGGCAGAGCCTCTCTGAAGGAGAGCGCAGACGATGGACGGAGGAGCCCTTATGACCGTCGTCATTGCCCATGGCCCCGCAGATGCGGCCAGGGCTGAGGGCTCCACCTTGGCCTCGAGGCAGTCGCGCAAGAGCGCCCGCTGCGGGTACCGACTTCTCTGGGCAGTGACCTCCCTGCGCAGAACTGGCCCTGGCATTGAGTCGGGCGTGTCTCTCCACCGGAGGAAGATTCAAACATCTTACAACAATAGTCTGGAGACGATTTTTGGAGGATTTTTAGTTTTTCTTTTGTGTCCCAAAGCCGCCTGTAGGAGGACATGCCCGACCAAACCCTGGCAGCGGCCGATGTACTCGCCCGGCAACCGCCCTGATTAGAGCCCCGGGCCCCCCCAGGCCCGCCCGCTGCATCCTCCCCCCCTCCCTTGAGGCTGGGCCCCCGTGGGCCCCCTGGGTGGAGAAGGGGGAGCGGAGAAGGGGGAGCGGAGAAGGGGGAGTGGAGGGGCGTGAAGGAACCCAGACCTTCTTGTGTGTTCTCTCCTCGAACGGTGCCAAACGGTGCTTGCACTTAGGGGTGCTTCCTTGTTGCTCTGGCTGCATCGGGCTGGTGTGCCGCTCTGGCAGCTATGTGGCCGCCGTCGCCGCCCCGTCGCCGCCCCGTCGCCGCCTCGTCGCCGCCCGTCGTCTGGGCCGGCGCCGCGTCGCCGCCTCGTTGCCGCCTGCCGTTTGGACCGGTGTGACGCCCTGGCGGCTGTGTAGTCGCCGTCGCCGCCCCGTCACCGCCTCGTCGCCGCCCGCCGTCCGGGCCAGCGTGGCGGTCTGGCGGCTATGTTGTCGCCGTCGCCGCCCTGTCGGCGCTTCGTCGCCGCGTGAATTGTGCACCACACAGATTGAACCACATAGACTCTTCTTTGTAAAAGAAAAATAGATCCAACCCCCCTCCCGAGGCAGGAATTAACGATCCCCCCTCGCGATACGCAAATCATTTATGATTCTGATCCACTGTTTATTTTACATATGAATTCATATTATCCCAGCCCAGCCGGTATCGCCCCGCCCCGCCATCCCTGTCAGATTATACCATGCGTTCGCACTCGTTTATCAAGCTCGTAAGTGTTTAATAATCCCTTGCAGAAAAACAGGACGAAGTGCTCACGCGAGCGTCGTTGCGCGCGCATGCTGAAATCTTTAGAAAACTCTAGGTTTCGGAACGATTTCAAAATCGAGAGTTATGAGTGATTTCGCAACAATACTGCTCAACAAAAGGTACACGCTCGCGCTCTTGCGAATTCTTATGAAAACCACCGGTTTTCAACATTTTCGAAACATGCTTCCACATTGGCCTTTCGCGCGCGCGTGTCGAACTCGTTCGAACGCTTCGCGCGCGTGCTGTCGAAAGAATCCTAGTGCGCGCGCGCGCCGTCGCGCGAGCATGCCGAAATCCTTCCAAAACCCACGGTTTCGTAAGGATTTCAAGATCGAGAGCCCCGACAACACATATATGTACACATATATATATATATGTATACATATACACACATATATGTGTAATACACGCGGTTTTGCAACACCAGTTTTCAAAGTATCCTGCGCTCGCGCTCTTGCGGGTTCTCAAGAACCATCGGGTTTCCAACATGTTTATCAAATGTTGCCAAGCGGGCCTTTCGTGCCGCATGTCGAACTCATTTGAACGCCCTTGCGCGTGCTTTGGGGGGGACGTTCCGTGTCAAATAATTCCATGCGGGCCACTCGCGCGCGTCGGCCGCGCGCGCATGTCGAACTCCTGCAAAAACCTCCATCGCCGACCCGAGGACATCGTAATCGTTCTAGGCGGACGTCGTCAACATCGGCGCCGTCATTGGCCTTGCCGTCGTCATCGCCACCATCGTCACCATCATCGCCACTCTCATAAGCGTGTCTACCGTTGTCGGCGTCGCCATGGTACCGCGCCCGCCCAAGCCACCGAGTCGCACTGAAGTGCCCGCTGGGATGTGCTCAGCGGTCAGCGCCACCGCGGCCGCGTCGGTCCTGCCAAACTAGCTGCTCGATGTGCGTGCGAGCATTCGCGGGCTGGGGGCGGCCGCCGAGATGCACCAGCCAAAGCCAAGCATTCATCGCAATCTCCGCCGAATGGGCTTTTCAAGCCAAGTTGCGGGTGGGTGGGTGGGACTTTTGCAAGAGCATCGAATGTGCCAACTCGTTTGTAAAGATCAATTTTCCTTCTCAAGAGAATTGCGATCTCCCCCCCGGGGTTAAGGGCGCACGTTTTCGTATTGCAATTTGAGTGATTCCGGCCTATTGTCCATCTTAAATATGACTTCGTTTCATCCCAGCTACGCCGGTATCGGCCCCCTTCATCCTTCGCCACAAATGCGATGTGCGCGCATTCGTTTGTCACATCTTGTAAATTCCCAAAAGTCCTTTGCAACAGATGGGACGAAGTGCGCATGCGCGCGGCGTCGCGCGCGTGCCGAAATCTTTGAAACACCGTAGGAGTCGTAAGGGATTCAAATTCGAGTGTCCAAGACAAATATAACAACACATGGTTTCGCAACAAAGATTTTCAAAACAAGCTTGCGCTCGCGCCCTTGCGAATTCTTACGACTACCATAGGTTGCCCAACATTTGTATAAAGTGTCACGCGGGCTTCGCGCGCGCATGTCGAAATCGTTCGAGCGCTCTTGCGCGCGTGCCGTCGCGAGAATCCTTTGCAACCCTTGGGGCGAAGTGCACGCGCGCGCGCGCCGTCGCGCGCGCGCGCCGGAACCCTTGAAACAGCAAATTCTGCTTCTTACAAGTTGAGTGTCCAGAACACATATAAAAAACACATGGTTTTGTAACATTCGGATTCAACGAATCCTGCGCTCGCGGTCTCGCGGGTTTTGGGGAATCTTAGGTTTTCCAGCATTTCCAGCGCATTCTGCCAGAAGGGCTTCTATACATATATATCTATAAATAAAAACTTCACCATAGGTATTGCACGGTATATTTTGCACAACTCAGTGTGCACCACACAGATTGCACCGCGAAGGTTGCACCATCACCATATAGTACACGTCGAATGCATCGCATACATTGCGCACCACATAAATGGTGCCACATAAATTGCACCACGTAGACTGCGCGCAGCTGTGACAGCATCTTTTGCGCGGCATAGATTTGCATAACATACAATTCACAGCACATATATGGCGTATATACATATAACTATGTACATGTACATGTATAATTATATAGGTTTATGTATGTGTGTATATTTACATGCATGTATTTATGCATGCATGTATGTGTGCATGTATGTATGTATGCATGTATGTATGCATACATGTATGTATGTATGCATGTATGTATATGTATATGTATGTATGTACGTATGCATGCATGCATGCATGCATGCATGCATGTATGTATGTATGTATGTATGCATGGATGGATGGATGTATGTATGAATGTGTATATATATGTATGTATATATATATATATATATATATATATATATATGCATCCGTAAAGGCTTCGCCCCCTGCCGCCGGCCCCTTGTCGATCATAGTGGGATATATCAGAGTTGCGTCGTTGCGTCTCGGCGCTGCCTTGGCGCATCTTGGGGCATCATGCGGGGGCGGATAGAAATCATCAGCGCATATTGAGACGTTGGCGTTATCCTAGTGGCCGTCGGCCCATCCCTCCACCGTGTTTGGGTTGTGGGTCTGAGGCCTCTTGTATATGTGTTGGGGTGTCTTGGTGATCCTTTCGGGGGCGTCTTGGAGGCGGTTTCGGCGCCTCTTGGGGGCTTCTTCGGGCCTCGTGGGGTATGTTTGGGCATCTTGGAAGCTTCTTTGGCGCGTCTTGGGCGCCTCTTGGGGCCTTCTGGGGGCTTTTCGGGGCTTCTCGGAACGCTTCTTGGGCCATCTTGGAGCTCTCTCGGGCCGTCTTGGGGCCCTCTCGAAGGTGTCTTGGACGTCTTGGGGCGGTCTCGTTTTTTTCTTGAGCCATCTTGGAGCGTCGGAAAGCCGAACATGCGACAACCCCAAACTTCTTCACAAACCTTTGTACAATCGACGATGTTTGCCTCTTGGGGCCCTCTCGGGAGGCCTCTTGGAGCGCTCTTGGGGCCGCTTGGGGCCCTCTTGGGCCGTCTTGGAATCATCTTCTTGCGCGTTAGAGTATTCCTGGCCTCGGCAATGCGAATATGACCAGATTTGCCAGGGTTCATGGCCACGTGGGCGCGACTATTGACTAATTTTCTATGGTTTGTTGCCTCGAGGACGCACGACTTGAGCAATTTGCGAGGGTTTGTGGCCTCGGGGGCGCAAATATCGTGTAATTTACGAAGGGTTCTGGCTTCGGGGACGCGACTATTGAGCAATTTGCAAAGGTTTGTTACCTCGGGGGCGCGACTATTGCAGACTTTGCGCAAGATTCTGGTTTCGGGGGCGCGAGTATTGTATAATTTACATGGGTCTGTTGCTTCGGGGGCGCAACGCTTGCATACTTTACGAGGATGTGTTCCCTCGGGGGCGCAACAATTGCGTAATTTGCAGGGACGCGAAACTTGCGTAATTTACCAGGGTTTGTTGCCTCTGGGACGCAGAAATTATGTGCACTGCGAGGGTTTACTCGGGGACGCGATTATTGTATAATTTAAAAAGGATCGTTGCCTCAGGGGCGCACCTCTGGCGTAATTTATTGTGGATCGTGGCTCCAGGGGCGCGAATGCATTGTAATTTACAAGAGATCGTGACCTCGGGGTCGTGACTGTGGTGTATTTTGCAAAGGATCGTTGCTTCGGGGACGCGAGCGTGGTGCAATTTGCAAGGGGTCGTGGCCTCGGGGGCGCGAGCGTGGCGTAATTTACGAGGGATCGTGGCTCCGGGAGCGCGAATGTGGTGTAATTTGCACGGGATCGTGGCTCCAGGGGCGCGAATGTAGAGTAACTTATAGGAGATCGTGGCCTCGCGGGTGCGAATATGGTGTATTTTGCAAGGGATCCTGGCTTCGGGGACGCGAATTTGATGCGATGCTTCGGGTGCGCGAGACCACAGTGTAATTTACGATGGATTATTGCATCGGGAGCGCGAATATTGTGTTTTTTTAGGTGTCCCACGGCCCCGCAGGAATTCGGAGCATTCGATTCCAGGTACTGGCCGGACGTTTTTCGGCCCCTCCCCCTCGCGCGGACTCCAACAGTTTACAGCAGGAAGCAGAAAGCAGGCTTGTAACACTGGAGAACTAGTGCAGTGTATTGAAACCTCACCATCGCAGCCTGATGGCCCCACAAGGGGGCCAGCGGACACGCTCACATCCATTCAAATAAATCAGTAGGACCTTGGCGGGTTGGCGAAGTCCCTGAAGACGGGACGGGGTGGGCACGAGTGGGCATCACAGCCGACTCAAAACCACAAGAGGCATCAAAGCTTCTGACATCCCAATTGCCAGTTCATGCGTTGCAGCATGCTCTCCCCGATTCCCCGAGCTCCCCAGGGGCACCGAGAGGGCACCCGAAGGCCCCCCGAGGGCCCCCAAACGGCGCCAGAACACTCCTGAAGAGCTCCCACGCGGCCCATGGGGTCCCCAGACTATCCAAGACGCGGCCCAGGCTGCTCCCCTGACGGCCACCACGGCTCCAAAAGGGCCCAGGGGACCCCAGAGAGGGCCCCAGGGGACCCCCGAGAGAGCCCCATCCAGCAAAAATCGCTACATTCCCTTTGGCAAACTGACGTTTTCAGCAAACTCGCCATTTGCATCGTCCCCGCGTCCACGACAGCCCCAGAAGCCTCCAAAATCGTCTCATGACCGCCCAAGACGCTCCCAAGAAGGCCCCCGGATGGCTCAAGACGGCCCTGGGGCGGTCCACGAGCCCTCCAAGACGGCCCAAGAGGACCTCGGGAGGGGCCCCAGGGGTGCCCAAGACGGCCCAAGATGGACCCACGGCCCAAGAGGCGTCCAAAATGGCCCAAGACGGCCCCAAGACGGCCCGACAAGCGTCCTGCAAGACCCCAGAAAGCCCCAGGACCTCCCCCAGGAGTTACAAGAGGGCCGCCAGCGGCAGGGGAACGCCATTCGAACAATCATCGCGAGATCTACGGCGGTCGCAGACTGCGTCGCATTTCCCAGAACGCACCGCCAATGTTCTGTCCCGTCAACTCCGTGGATTTAATCGACGGGCTCACTGGTATATATTCATGTATATCTCTATGTATATGTATATGTATATGCATATGTGCACGTATATGGATATGTATATGTATATGTATATGTATATGCATTTGTATATGTATATGTACATGTACATGTATGTGTATAGGCCTATATTTATATCTATGTATATGTGTATGTGTATGTATATGCATATGTTTAGGTACATGTATAGGTTCATCTTTATGCATATGTATAGGTGAATATGTATATACATATATATATATATATATGTAAATGTACATGTGCATGTGCATGTGTATGTATCTGTATTTGTACATGTCTATATATATGTATCTGTATGTGTGAACATATATGTATAGGTTCATGCATATACATATGCATATGCATCTGCGTATGTAGATGTACGTATACGCGCGTATGTATATGTATATGTAGATGTACATGTATATGCGTATGTCCAAGTGTATATGTTTATGCATGCATGTATGTTTATATATATATATATATGTATGTGTATTTTTTTGTATATGAATATGTACAGGTGTATGCATGTGTATATGTGAATGTATATGTATACACATATGTATACACATATGTATTTGTATGCATATACGTATGTGTTTATGCATATGTACATGTTTATGCATATGTTCATGCACACGCATACGTACATGTTTATGTTTATGTATATGTATACGTATCTGCGTATATGCATATTTACTTATGCATATATATATAGATATACATGTGCATGTATCTGTATTTATACAGATATTTGTATCTGTATATCTGTATTTGTAAATGTTTATGTAGATGTGTATGTATATGTATATATCTATGTATAAACAAACATGCGTATATAGCACCACATTTTGTAACTGACGCTGCGCAAAACAGTTTGCACCGCATGGGTTGCACCACGTAGGTTCCATCGTATATTGCACCGCGTCGAACGCATCGCATATATTATTGCCCACCGCACCAGACAACGTAGGCTCTCATTTTCTGAAAGAGTATTGAAAACCCCCCCAGATTTAACGACTCATCTTTTCGTATTGCAATCTGCGTATGACTCTGCCCCATCGTCCATCCGAAGTATGGACTCATGCCATCCCATGCAGGCCGGTATCGACACTCCCTTTTCATCGTTTGCAGCGAGTGCTATGCTCGCGCACTCGTTTATCACAAATCATCAGTTTCCAAAAATCATTTGCAACAGAACTGGACGGAGTGCACGCGCGCGCGTCGTCGCGCGCGTGTGCCGAAATCTTTCAAATCTCGGTTTTCGTGAGGATTTCAAAAACAAGCGTCCCGACCACGTATAAGAAATACGTGCTTTCGCTCAAAGAATGTTCAAAACAAGCTGGCGCCCGCGCTCCTGCAGATTCTTAAGAAAACCATAGGTGATTCAACTTTCGTAGCATGCATCCAGACAGGCGTCTCGCGCGCGCGTGTCGGATCGCTCGAACGCGCTTGCGCGCGTGCTGTCGCGAGAGTCCCGATGACAAAACAGGACGATGTGCACGCGCGCCCGTCGTCGCGCGCGCGTGGCGGAATCTTTCAACAAACCCAGGTGTCGGAAGGATTTCAAAACGAGTGTGCCGAACGCATAAAAAAATGGTTTTGCAACATCAGTTCTCCAGAGAACCCGCGCGCGCGCTCGTGCGAGTTCGTTGGACAACCATCGGTTTTTCAACAATGTCATCCGATTCTACCAAATGGGCCTCGCGCGCACCATGCCGAACCCATCCGAACGCCCTTGCGCGCGTGCTGGGGGGGGGGCACGATCCGTGTCAAATAATACCACGCGGGCCATTCGCGCGCGTCGGCCGCACGCGCATGTTGAACTCTTTCCAAAACCTTCGTCGCCGACGCGAGGACTTCGTCATCGTTATCGGCGGGCGTGTTCAACATCGGCGCCGTCATTGGTCTTGCCGTCGTCATCGCCACCATCGTCACCATCACCGTTACTCTCATAATCGTATAGTCGGCGTCGCCATGATACCGCGCCAGCCCGAGTCATCGACTCGCACTGGAATGCCCGGTGGGAAGTGCCCAGCGGTCAGCGCCACCGCCGCCGCGTCGGCCGCGCCGCAAAAGCTGGCTGCTGCGCACGCGAGCATGTGCGGCCGCGGAGATGCACCAGCCGACGCCGCGCACTCATCGCAATCGCCGTCGCATGTGTTGTGCAAACCAAGTTGCGGGTGGGTGGGTGGGATGACTGCGCGAGCAGAGGAGTTGACAACTCATTGCGAGCACGGGTAATTTGCACCACAATTGCACAACGCAAATTGCACCACATAGAATGTACAACATGCGTTGCGCAACATAGAATGCTAGAAACATTGTTTTGGGCCCGCGCTGGCTAGCATGATAAATTCACGTTGGAGAGCTGTTGGCAATTTTCGACCTCTGGATGCTCTTGCCAGGCCTTGGGCCTCGGATGCATTTTTTTCCTTTGCTCACATTGTCATTCTCTTCCTCCTTATCCCCCTTCCTATTTTGTTGTGTTGCCTGGGCGACTTTGCTTAGCTGCGTTCGGCGCGAGCACCATCAATCAGCCGCTCTTAACGACGTTCCTGGTTGACGGCATGCCCGCCGTCGTTGACGACATGTTCGCCTTTGTGTGAAAATGATCGGCCTTCGTTGACGACATGCTTGCATTCCAATCTCGCGAAAGGGGCGCGGGGAATGTGGGCGTCGGGAGGGCCGCCGAGAAGGAGACTGTGGAAGTAGGGAGAGGAGGGGCGTGTGACGGGGAGGGGGGGCCAGCGAGAGTACGGGGAGGGAGCGGGACCGGAGTGGAGGGAGATTAGGGGGGAGGCGACAGGGACTGCACGCGGATGGTGGGAAGATAGCCCGTTGTCCATGGGGACTGAAACCGTTGCCCAAGGCTACCCAGCGTAAGGGCATAGTCGGTAGCTGATCAAGCGGTCGCAATCTTGCTGTGCGGGGGTTACCAGACTTTTTCAGCTCGGCCACTTCGTCCCTCGAGTGGTCGCCGTGAGTGCCTGCGCGCGGCAGATGCTATCGTTGGGACTTGTATGGCTCGAGATGGATCCGCTGCGGGCGGGGGGGGTCTGGCGCCAATCACCGCCACCAAGGCAGCTATGGCGGCTGGTGGGAAGTCGGTGCTCTCCTCCTCGTCCTCGTGCGGCGGGCCCCTCTCCCTTCCCCCGTCTCTCCTACACGGGCGCAGCTTGCTTCAGCGCGCCCCGCCGAGGGCCCGACCGCCCTTGTCATGGCGCCAACATCGCAGAGCGGATGTCGTTCGGAAAACAATAGCATGGGCCCAGAGTGTCCTGGAGCCTTTCGTTCCGGATTTCGAGGTGCATCTCGTGTGGGTTTCTTTTCTTGGCCAGGAATGAAGACTGAACAACAATCCACGCGACATTCACTTCGTTTTTCACTTGCCGCCTCGGGGTTCTGCATTGAGGAATCCACGGAGAAATCCGCTGCAGCACGTCTGCAAGGTCGGTGCAGTGACCCTGGACCGGACTCGTGGGCGCAGCGGCGGCGGGGGGTGCAGCTCGTCGGCCGCAGGGCTCGTCGGCCGCAGGGCTCTGCGGCGCGCGCCGCTGGGGCCAGCGGGAGGGGGGAAGGCTTCGTAGGAAGGAGGCGACGATAGGGGCGAATAGCCCAGGGGAGAGCAATACATGCATCCAGGGGCGCCGATGGTCCATGTCTTCGAGAAGGCTCCCGGGCGAAAACGTGTGCTCACGACGCGAGCATGTCTGGGTACCCCCCCCCTGCGCGCCGCCGGCTGGCCGGGGAGCAGCGACCCGGAGCGAGCCCGGCGACCAGCGTGCTGCAGGGAGCAGTCCCGCGTGGCAGCTCGGCGTACGGACGGGCAGGGCAGGCGAAGGGCCTCCTTCGGCAGTTCATCGTGGGAGCCCGGCATGCTTGTGGAAGTCGATTAATGGAGAGGAAGCGTGCTGCCAAATGATTTGCGGATGTCTTAAACATGTTTCACACATGTTTGAAATATGTTTAAACACATGCTTGAAACATTCTTGCATCATGTTTTACACATTTTAAACACATATTTAATTCAATGATCGGATTGTTAGAGTGTCCACTGTCATGGCATCCACAACGGTAGGCCCTCTTAATTCCGTCATTAGCGTTAAGTCATGCCTGTCCCTCTATGGAACGAATATTCGGAAATGGTCAGAAAATAGTCTGGGGACGATTTTTTTCCCAACCATCCTGTGATGTTGGGTCCTCGTTTTTAAGAGACGTCGCCACGCGTTCTCCTCCACTCCTCTCCTCCTCCCCCTCCTCCTCCCTCCTCCCTGCGTTTCACCCACCCAGTACAGCGTTTCGTGGCCCCATAGGGGAGCTCCACCGAAGGCCCCAGTGGCAGCGTTCGCATGGCGGCCTCGGGCCATTTCGGCACACCCCTCACGAGGATCGTGGCCCCATAGGGAGCTCCACCGAAGGTCCCAGTGGCAGCTTTCGCATGGCGGCCTCGGGCCATTTCGGCACACCCCTCACGAGGATCGTGGCCCCACAGGGAGCTCCACCGAATGTCCCAGTGGCAGCTTTCGCATGGCGGCCTCGGGCCATTGCGGCACACCCCTCACGAGGATCGTGGCCTCACAGGGAGCTCCACAGAAGGCCCCAGTGGCAGGGTTCGCATGGCGGCCTCGGGCCATTTCGGCACACCCCTCACGAGGATCGTGACCCCATAGGGAGCTCCACCGAAGGCCCCCAGTGGCAGGGTTCGCATGGCGGCCTCGGGCCATTGCGGTACACCCCTCACGAGGATCGTGGCCCCATGGGGAGTTCCACCGAAGGCCCCCAGTTTCGCATGGCGGCCTCAGGCCATTTCGGCACACCCCTCACGAGGATCGTGGCCCCATAGGGAGCTCCACCGAAAGCGCCAGTGGCAGGGTTCGCATGGCGGCCTCGGGCCAATTCGGCACACCCCTCACGAGGATCGTGGCCCCATAGGGAGCTCCACCGAAGGCCCCAGTGACAGGGTTCGCATGGCGGCCTCGGGCCACTGCGGCACACCCCTCACGAGGATCGTGGCCCCATAGGGAGCTCCACCGAAAGCGACAGTGACAGGGTTCGCATGGCGGCCTCGGGCCGTTTCGGCACACCTCTCACGAGGATCGTGGCCTCACAGGAGCTCTACCGAAGGCCCCAGTGGCAGGGCTCGCATGGCGGCCTCGGGCCATTTCGGCACACCCATCATACGGTTCGTGGCTTCATAGGGAGGTGGTAGGGTTCGCATGGCGGCCTCGCCCCATGTCGGCGCACCCCACACGAGGATCGGAGTAATCATTCCCAACCATCCTGTGGTGTTGGGTCCTCGATTTGAAGAGACGTCGCCCCGCGTTCTCCTCCTCTCCTCTACTCCTCCCCCTCCTCCTCTTCTCCTCCCTCCTCCCTGCGTTTCACCCACCCAGTACAGCGTTTCGTGGCCCCATAGGGAGCTGCACCAAAGGCCCCAGTGGCAGGGTTCGCATGGCGGCCTCGGGCCATTTCGGCACATCCCTCACGAGCATCGTGGCCCCATAGGGAGCTCCACAGAAGGCCCCCAGTGGCAGGGTTCGCATGGCGGCCTCAGGCCATTTCGGCACACCCCTCACAAGGATCGTAGCCCACAGGGAGCTCCACCAAAGGCCCCCAGTGGCAGGGTTCGCATGGAGGGCTCGGACCATTTCGGCACACCTCTCACGAGGATCGTGGCACCATAGGGAGCTCCACCGAAGGCCCCCAGTGGCAGGGTTCGCATGGCGGCCTCGGGCCGTTTCGGCACACTCCTCACGAGGATCGTGGCACCACAAGAGCTTCACCGCAGGCGCCAGTGGCAGGGTTCGCATGGCGGCCCTGGGCCATGTCGGCATACCCCTCACGAGGATCGCTGCCCCATAGTTGTGCTGCTTCAACAACCGCGCCTGGGCGTCGTGCTCCGCCTTGTCGACGTGCAACGCCACCTCCACCTTCATGGCTCTCAAAGTCATCTCCTGCTTCTGCTCATCGGTCAGAGGGACGCCGTCCTTGTCGTCTTCGGCGCCCGCGAAGACTGCCTCGAACGTGTTCCTGAGCATGTCGGGCCCCGGCGGGAAGCCGTGGCCACATAGGGAGCGCGGGCGAAGCTAGTATTCACAATTGCGGTCTTCACAAGTGCATATGGTTGGGTCCTTCGCCAGGCTAATTTTTGTATTTCCCAACCGTCCTGTGGTGTTGGGTCCTCGTTTTGAAGAGACAGCACCCCGCGTCCCTCCCTCCCTCCCTCCCTCCCTCCCTCCCGCCTCCTCCTCCTCCTCCTCCTTCCCTCTTCCCTCCTCCCTGCGTTTCACCCACCCAGTACAGCGTTTCATGGCACCATAGGGCGCTCCACCGAAGGCCCCAGTGGCAGGGTTCGCATGGCGGCCTCGGGTCATTTCGGCACGCCCCTCACGAGGATCGTGGCCCCACAGGGAGCTCTACCGAAGGCTCCAGTGGCAGGGTTCGCATGGCGGCCTCGGGCCATTGCGGTGCATCCCTCACGAGGATCGTGGCCCCATAGGGAGCCCCACCGAAGGTCCCAGTGGCAGGGTTCGCATGGCGGCCTCGGGCCATTTCGGCACACCCCTCACGAGGATCGTGGCCCTCATAGGGAGCTCCACCGAAGGCGCCATTGGCAGGGTTCGCATGGCGGCCTCGGGCCATTTCGGCACACCCCTCACGAGGATCGTGGCCCCACAGGGAGCTCCACCGATGGCCCCCAGTGGCAGGCTTCGCATGGCGGCCTCTGGCCATTTCGGCACACCCCTCACGAGGATCGCGGCCCCATAGTGAGCTCCACCGAAGGCCCCAGTGGCAGGGTTCGCATGGCGGCCTGTGGCCACTTCGGCACTCCCCTCACGAGGATCGTGGCCCCATAGGGAGCTCCACCGAAGGCCCCAGGGCAGGGTTCGCGTGGCGGCGTCGGGCCGTTTCAGCACACCTCTCACGAGGACCGTGGCCCCATAGGGAGCTCCACCGAAGGCGCCAGTGGCAAGGTTCGCATGGCGGCCTCGGGCAATTGCGGTACACCCCTCACGAGGATCCTTGCCCCATAGTTGTTTGTGCTGCTTCAACAACCGCGCCTGGGCGTCGTACTCCGCCATGTCGACGTGCAACGCCAGCTCCTCCCTCATGGCTCTCAAAGAAGCCCTCTCCTTCTTCAGCTCCTCGGCTCAGGGACGCCGTCCTTGTCGTCGTCGGCGCCCGCGAAGACGGCCACGAACGTGTTCCTGAGCATGCGGGCTCCGGCGGGAAGCCGTGGCCACATAGGGAGCGCGGGCGAAGATGGTATTCACAACTACGGTATTCAGAACTGCATATGGTTGGGTCTTTCGCCAGGCTAATTCCAGGCATTCTTGGAATATTTTTGGACAATTTTCAATTTTTCGTCCCAAATCCCCCTGTAGGGGGACAGGCCCGACCTCACTTTAGCGCCGATTTGCGCCGATTAGCCTCTGGGAGTCGATGAGATAGCGCCGACTTAACGTCGGTTACTGACGATTAGCGTCGATTTAGCGTTGATCCGCGTCGATTTGGCATCGATCAGCGTCGATCCGCAAAAGCCGACAAGATGGTACGGGAGGCTCCCACGAATTGCCACCGAATCCGCCACCGTTGGCGGCCCGTGGGTGAGCACCGCGTGCTTGGCACAGGCGGCAGTGGTCAGGCAGGCTGCCGAGGCGCGCGTCTTCTCTCTCTCGAGTCGCCGCGAGCCGGGGTGATCGAATTTGGTGCGTCGAAGCAAAAACAATGAGCTAAACTTACACCGGGCCTGTGCGTTTACAGGAGGTTTCTTCAAAACAAACGACAAATATTCTGAATATTTCTTTGATATTTTTCCCAACCATCCTGTGGTGTTGGGTCGTCGTTTTGATATAACGGTCCCCGCGTGCTCCTCCTCCTCCTCCTCCTCCCCCTCCTCCATTCGCCCATCATCATTTCCCATCTCGGTACACCGCTCGCACGTTCCGTGGCCCCATTGGGAGCTCCACCGAAGGTCCCAGTGGTTGCGTTCGCGTTTTGTCCGCATGCGGTCCCGCCTCCCATTTCGGCACATCAAATCTGGCATTTTCACACACCCGGTACAACGATTCGTGGCCCCATACGGAGCTCCACCGAAAGTTCCCGTGGCTGCGTTCGCGTTTTGGCCGCATGCGGTTTCACCCCCCATGTCGGCACATCCACTTCAGCATTTTCACCAACCCAGTACAGCGTTTCGTGGCCCCATATGGGGCTCCACCGAAGGTCCCAGTGGCTGCGTTCGCGTTTTGGCCGCATGCGGTTCCGCCTCGCATTCGGCAAATCAAATTTGGCATTTTCACCCTCCCAGTACAGAGTTTCGTGGCCCCATAAGGAACTCCTCCGAAACCCTCAGTGGTTGCGTTCGTGTTTGGGCAGCATGCCGTTTC